CAAATACACACATTGGGGGAAAAAGAAATATTTGCTGATGTTAAATGGTAAACTAAAACATTGTCGTGAAAATCCTGTTATTGCTATGTTGAAGGTACAGATGTACTCCTCCAGCCTCTACTGATTTTGGTAACCTGTGTCAAACGTTTTAGGGCTCGTGGGATGCTGGTTTTATCCAAGACTTATCTCAGAAGTTAACCATGGATTCGCAACAACGTTCGGTGGCCCTATTTTCACATCTTCAACCAAACGTAGATTTTTTTCCCCTCCGCGTGCAGCCGGATTTGCGCCTTTATTCCCAGCCGCACTGTAACACGTTATCACGAGCGACCGGTCTCTCTCTTCAAACAAGATTCTAATTACTCTCCTTCCCCCTGCATTAAAACCATACAGGCTGTGCAGCCGAGCGACAGTGCTTATTTGACACGGTTTCCCGACCAACAAAACTCCTTGCGGAAACAGTTCAGGATTGTGTTATTCTCTTGATTCGAAGTCGCTGTGAAAGGCCTGTCAGGTCGATTTGAAAACACGGACAGGATTTGGCAACAAAAGCTTGGGTGTCGAGGTCAAGTTGTTTCGCAGTGGTTATTGACAGAGTGCGATTTGTGAGATCAACGGCATGCAAGCATGCCAATGGGCAGTTATATCACCTCTGCTTCACATGTACAATTTAACACAAAAAAATGGATCCGATTGTTGCTAAGTAAGACCAAATTCCGTGAGAAGTACTTTTCCTCAGGGAATTTTAGTCGACCGTGAAAAAACTATTAAAGTTATCAAGCGCATCATTGAAATGATTTTACACTTCACTTGTCGGTTACAATCAATTGACTTCTACAGTTTTCGCATTGTGTTATCAAATTTATGAAATAGAAAGGAAGGTCGTTCGAATTGCTACTAAAAAAAGAGGTTACGGCTGTTGGGAACGGAATTAATATATCATCGGGCGTATAAAGTGCCGTGGTGGCATGGCCAATCGGATCATATTTTTTGAGGGAGTGGGAAGAATGACAAATCGCGCCTACTTTTCTTTCTACACGACCAACGAAGTGTTGATAGCATCTCGACATGCCCCAGGCATACTTCTCCAGCTTAGCATCAAGATCAATTTACACCGAGTGAACATGCGGCCCCTGCTGCATCACTCAGTTTCCACCTCGATATCTTCATCGTCCCTCGTCGTGTTTCTCACTTGGTAAAAGCTTCATTTAGAGAATTGTAGAACTATCTGAGGAATGCATCGGCATCTTTTTTTTAAATCTGGGTTAGAATCTCGGCTCTCCAGTCTGTTTCCCCCTTTGATTTGAATTCTTGGACCACGATCTCTATACAACAGAGGTCTTTGCACTTTTATTTCCTTTTTTTCTCCTTGCAGTATGCAGCACTGCAACTGCCAGATGGCTGACTGTTTTGTTATTCGCAAGGCATAGCGAGGAAGGAAACTCGGCCACGCAGTGAGATTTGGCAGATTGAGTGCGATGTCGTGCGGAGTAAGGAGAGAGTTCCCCCGCTGTCCTTGCTAATGCGCTGCTGTAGGGGTGGGCCGGTTGGTATTCTTTGGTAAATCGCTGCACAGTTAAGCCAAGTCGGACGGTCAAGAATCGCTTTTTCAACAACCACATGGAGAGAGAGCGCTCAATAGCGAAACACGGTGTCAAGGAGGTGGGGGTGTTATGCTGCAAAACACAAAATACCTATTTGCTCAAATTATCCTGACTAGATTTTCGAAATTGTTACAGATTCTCTTCATCCTTCTCACTCTCAGAACAAAGGTTGAATTTCGTCCGGTTAGGTTAAAGTACGCAGTCCTTTCCCTAGCGGTAAATTACGACACATGATAAATATTCCCCATCCGGCCCCAGCTGCCATCCGTTATTACGCGTGTGCGTGACGTTGTCCTTATAATTAACTACCCGTGACCGACTTTTGAGCTCCGATATGATGATGGAGCAGTGTCAGATTGGGCTGGTTGAAGCGACCCCCAGATAGGTATGCATCCAAGACAAGAGCCTTTCACCAATCAAAACCCCAACATGAGCCTCTTCTAGGTTCTAGGCAGGTGGATCCTGAAGTGGTGGTCCTTCCACCACCACGCGGATTCTGATGACATACATAGTATAGAAGTACAGTTCAAGCACACATTCACTTCATTTGCGTCCTTACTCAAGTTTCCGGCCAAGGTTTCCGTTCTGATGTTACGAGATCATTTCTGAGCATTGATTTATTTGTGTAAATTGGGGCAAGAGGTTGGTCGGGGTTAATAGCGGCGTATTATAATTGTGTAGGTGGGGCTAGTACTGGATCACGTTCCTTGCATCAATCACGTTGCATTGTGAGTACTGTCAGCTGCCACGACGCCGTTTTCTTTTATGCTCCCTTCCTGGCAAGTCAGAGCATTTCAATGATGTATTGAAATATGATACCAAGTTCTCGCTGTGGGAGATCGGCTATAAAACTGTAGCATGAATTGAAATAAGCCCACATGATTAAACCGAATGTCCTTGCCTGAATTGCCACCTCGTTGTTAAAGCCATCGTTTACGTTCATAAATGCATACAGTAACATCGTGTATTCTCGAAAAGATAGGGGATCTACCATCTTGGAGCTTTATGTAAAAAAAAAAAATTACTCAAAGAAAGTAAGTATAAATGATGTTTTTTCCGCAGCTCTTTTTTTTTTTTAAAGAATACAGATACGGAGAAAGAAACAAATAGTGGGAAAATAACTGGTAGTCAGGGTTTCTTTCACAAGGTTGTGATGAGTTGGGTCAGTGAGTATCACCACAGAGCCCCTTTTTCAACTCAACCATCATGGATTCTCTGGAGGGTTCCGGAGCAGGGCTAAACCAACGCCCAACGGCACAACACGCAGGGTCGCGAACTCGAAGCTTTGGGGATTAAACTTGAGCCTTTTGTATATAGGTCAAATCGGGCATGCGATCGATCGTCCATCCATCCAGCCCCCCAGATACTGAGAACCCAGGACGTGGGCTCGAGTTCACTTCAATCTGCTCACCGGGTACACAATGGTTGGAATATTGACGTGGAAGTGGTGTGGGTTCAAAGAGGGAGAGGAGGGAGGGGGGGGGGGTGATGGTGCTCAGCTCAGGAGGCTTTATAGTCCGAATGGCCGTGATGACTGAGGGTGCTTGTCAACGCTAGCTGACCGCGGTCGTCCCATGATTGTTAATTCCTGACAAGCCTTCCTTTCCTGTTCTCACATACCGGCCTACTTTACTTTCAAACTTGGTCGAGAGGTCTCTGCACAATAAGAGTTGCTGCATCACCGTCACAGTAATATTGGTCATTTACTTCAAGATCGGATATATTTATAACCAAGGACTGACCCTTAAACAGCAACGTACTGTCGGTAATCATTCATTTTGTTGGGTCCAAGACAGATGGTATTCGTAGTCTTGGGAATAAGGTTCAAGTCTAAAAGATGTTAAATACATGCAGCTGATGTAGTGAAAGCAATACGTAAACATCGTGAGTGTGGATTGTAATGACAGCCGATGCTGACTTCAAGTAGCTATACTGAAGTAATTGAGACTCTCGCTTAGAAATCGTTTCGAATTCGTCGTTTACTTTAGATTAACATATACATGTATCTTAACTTAGTTGACGACACTTTGAAAGCAGATGCGCTTGATTAGTTAGAGATATAAATCGTTGGTGTGATAAACTTTGACTTTGACGTACCCACCGCTTTACTGCACTCCGTCCGATCCGGCTGAACAATCCAAAGCGGAGAACGCAGATCGTTTTTACTAATGATAATCCATATCAACAAGATAACCTAACGGTGCATTATCTCAAGTTTTAATGGACGGTAGGTTGTTCTCTAAATACATTGAGTGCCCGTTTTAATTCAGATAATGGCATCTCCTGCAGATGATACATGGCCGTGTTGGCAAGGAAATATGGTACATCGGAATAAACATGCAAAAACGTTGGGTTTCCGTTATCAATATGGTAGGGAAACATATCAAACTTTATAAACGGTCCACCCTTTAAAACAAGTACTGTACAATGACGAGAACTCTATAACTAAAACGATGGAAAATCCTTTTGTTCAACCAACTAAAAACCAGCCACAAAAATCGTTCGTGTGTTCAAGTTGTGATAGGGAAATTTGGGTCCTTTCACGAGTTTTTTCTTTATAGCATTCGTCATGTATGTATAGGCATAATGATGCGATTTTATTCCTCAACCAAACTCGACTTCATCACGGAACAAACTGAAGCATGATTTATTATTATCAGGTCGCAACGTTTACACTACGGATTTACCACGAATTCTCGCTTAAGATGCAGAAGCAGAACACTTCAGCTTTTCATGGAATATGAAACATACACAAGAGATACATTCTGATGATTGGTGCAATATAACAGCTGGGCCTCAATGCATTATGTGACACATTGGTTGTAATTTTGCGCCGTGTTAACAATAACAATTGATTATTGTTAAAACGCTTTGCAGTGGTTGATTTCTCGAAACAGTTATTTACAAACATGACAAACGGGTATTTTGCGAAGAACGATATCGATTCGGTTTTCGTACAGTTAAGGTCTTCAGCAAACGGAATTGATCAAACACAGTACTTTCAGAATCATGTACCGGTACTTACCTAATTGGAAAATAAACTGCTCTACATGCGAATTCTCCCAGCCAACTACTGCTACTAAAACTACCGAGTACTACCAAATTTAATACTCCTACACAATCTCCACTCTAAGCGTTGGGATTTTCTATAACTAAACAAATTTGGATTTTGTTTTATGATCAGGTATATAAACAGCAAAGCTAAAATCACACAGTTTTCTCCATTTACCGGAGGAACCTCATGAAAGGGGGAGAAATTTTATATATCATGTATATAGCATCTATAGACTGATATTCTCGTATTACACGCAAAACTTTAATAGTACTTGAGGGAAAACAAAATAAGCGTAATTGTGAATATTGCACGAAAATGGCAAATTTGTAAAAGGTACTCACCGACGGTTTCGAAAGATGTAGCTGAACACCAGTTCTTTCGCTTTCAACCCCTTCCTACTTTTCCTCGCGATCGAAAGGGAAATATAACACTAGAAAACTGGCAGGCGGCCCCGGCGAGAAAAAAAAATGGGAAAAGTCCGGTTGACTAGCTCCTTGCGTCTAGGGCTGCAAGTGCCGACTGACGCTGATGCGGGGACGCACTGCGGTACTTATACCACTAGCTCACTGACTATCGCGATCAATCACCGAGTCTCTACGTTGGACCACTGACCTACGAGTTCAGTGGCAAACAAAGGTCACGTGGTGACCTCGACGCCTACCGTTGACAACTTAACAGTACACAGGCTGCACTCAGTACGCACTGTACTGTGCACAGTGCACGCACCCACGTGCTGCTGATTTGATTGCATAGTGCCAGTTGACAGCGCACAACTGCCGCACATCAGTACCGAAGACCGTCAGCTATGCATTGCATTCAACTCGCCAACCGCCATCGGTTGGATAAGTCGTAAGGTCGATGACCGTAAACACAGCAACATGAAAAATGAGCGATCGATAAAAGCGTGTTCCCCCGCGATGCCCTTGTCCTTAACGTTCATTGTTCATTAATCATTAATAAGTCGTGGGCCCCGATAAAAAGAGACTGAGGGAAGGCTCTTGTCGTAAGCATTGTTTGAACAATGTTTCAATAATCGACAAATTGTAAACTCAAAGTTATGGGTACCTGCATGCGCTATGCAGGTGGAGTTTGGCCAAAAGGCCGCTTACCCTTTCATGGATTCAACTATTGTGTCCTGAACTTCAGCAGTTCGTGAAATTTTAATTTAGCCTTCAGATAAGGTCGCAATTTACCACAGCCGAATTCATTTCAGTGTCGGCCAACCTGTTGCTGCCATTATTTCGAAACGGTGCCCAGTCGCGTCACGGTGTCCGTAATACGTCACTACCCTTGACCGTATTCTGAGCTTGATGACTAGCCAATTAACTTTAACTTAAGGTAAACCCTCCGCCACGACAGTTCCGTGTAGGGCTATCTACTTCTCAACCCAACTTTTCTCTACCCAACTGGACACTATATTTGGGGTCTACCCGATGTTCCCCACTACCGATGTTCCCCGAAATCCTTAGGGTTAGGGTTAGGATAGGGTTAGGGTTAGGGTTAGGGCTAGCTAGGGTTAGGGTTATAGGGTGGGGATTTCGGGGAACATCGGTATTGGGGAACATCGGTATTGTGGCACATAGGTATGCACCCCTATATTTTAGGACATAGAAACAAAGGATTTGGATAGTTTGTAGAATCTACGAGTTCCTGCTAGATATATATAAATGCAATACAGTGATACAACGTAAAGAGGTCCATCATTATAACCACTGGAGAACCTCAACCTCAGCTTTTTTTGTCCCTCTTAGCCCTATTGATTGGTAGTGCTGCTGAAGTATGTTGTTTTCAGTAACTGTCGGAACGGTCTCTCGGTAGCATAGTATGATTTCCAAGCTCATTTTTAAACGATCGGAGCATCACCGAGCAGGAGGAGCAAGGCCTTCATCCAAACACGTGAGCCAAATGGGGCTTCAATTATAAAACATATTATTTTCGACCACTGACTAAAATCCATATTATACATTTATATTCAGGCAGAGGTGTTTTGGTATTGGTTTGGTATTCTGACTCAACGTGCATGAAAACATGTAGTCTCAGCTGATGGGCAGACTGTTAATTTATTTTATATCACATTTTTTTTCCTAATAGAAGTGGCAGTGTCTTAGGAAGGTTACAAGGAATTTGGGGGATTTCAACTTCTCTCTGGAAATTGGAATCCGCAAACTACAAGACTATCGATAATTCAAGGTCGTCTGTATAGTAAGAAGGTAAGAAAGTACCCGAGGTTTGACATTGTTGGGTGGCATCAAACAATCAAACACAAACTCTCCACCTTACAGAAACTGGGTTTATTAATTTTTCTCATTAACATTGATAAATAGAGGCTTTCACAACTATTGTTTAAAATATTCTTGCTTAGATTTTCTCCCTTGGGGGAACACTGAATGACATTGAGACATTTTCAGTATTGATATGAACACTTTAAAAAAGGACCATTGAGAATTTGGATTGAGATAAATCCCACAAACCAGAACACAATATTTAAAAAACATCAAGACTAATACTTTTATCTCAAACCGAAATGTTCAATTCATTGAAGGCCAAGCATAAAATAATCACTTTCTGAGTTTGTGTGGCATCGCTTTCCCTTACTTGAGAGATGACTTGGGCACTGGCAGCTTTTGTAGATTTGTGTCACGCCAGTTGGTGTATAGCATTTGACGTATATGTATACTATATCCCTGCCCTGCGTGTATAGGCGAAATACTAGAGACATGACTCGACACATGTCGCGATCGTTTTATTTTTTCTTCTGTGATGTCAGACTGGTGCAAGATGATAGATGAGATTGATTTCCGTGATTTCCACACTCATATCTACAGAGTCGTGTGCATGTAAACACAGTTTGTATGATGTCAACCTGGTATAATCATAATAGAGTTCCGAACGACACATGAACCAAGCTGGCCACAGGCCTGGATATTAAATGAACTATCCGTGTGACTAATATTCTTGAAGAGGAATTGCTAACTGGATCAGTGGGTTAACTTGTATAGGCTGAAAAAAGATCAGACATTCAGGTGTGCTGAGCCACGGTCGAACGTCTGATCCTAACATGCAAATTATATGCAACCCGCCGTGCGAGCGCCAGCCTATCGGAGTCGACTTTCGAAGTGTGACGCCATTTCGATCACAAATGTGGACTATAAGCTGTTGTTTGGTCAATTTAGATGCCATTTTTTTTAAAACAACAACGGATTACCTGAGACCCGATACAAGGCGCCCGCTGAATGGTCAGAATCTCGAGGTCAAAACGCAGTCTTGTTTTGCACTATCGCCGAACCTGCTCGCATATATATTTACTGTGCAAGGGAATATTCCATATGGGTTGTGTTGCTAAATTTTGATTAATTTTCCACAAGACACCATATTCCGATAACACCACTGCCTCTCAGCTAAGTTCTGCTATAATTGTGTCTTCAATACAGTGCAAACACAGGTAGTTATACGTGGAGCTACAGTCTGTTTATCTTATGTCGTGTTTTATATAAAACCTGTTTTTGACAGGCTTGGCTGCAATTATTTCCTGCATACCTAGACCGTTGAAGGTATGAGGGAATGGCATACGTCTATTGCACTATTGAACGCGCCCCCGATAAAGCATCGGCGTGCATGTTACGATTTGGCCTCCTCGTAGCTACGGTATACGTGCCATACGTTGAATGAGCCGGGCTGTCAATGACAATTGTCGTCTCGACCCAGTTTTTCTGTGACTGCAGATCCTTAGGGCAACCCCTCCTTCCCGCTTGAAATCCGTCTAGATTGCTTATTGCCATTTGTCGGTCAGTCATTGTAGCGCATGGGACCACTGCCTTCCCGTGTAAAGGGTCAGTAGTGACAGACTTGTGTTTTTGGGATCACAACTTGCATTGATCCACAAAACAAGTTGTTCGGAGTTATTCTGAATTCGAGGATGAATTTCTGTTTGTGCAGGTTTTTTTTTATAAAACAATGCTAGTGAACATGTACATAGTACAGTAATTAATGAGCATTTTTTCTTCTAATTCTACTGGACTAAAAAGGTGACAGGCCTTTACATAGTTATAATTGGACGAGTGGTTAAGTACAATACAAGTAAGCATAGTACATTAACACCGCAGATACCTTCGTGGTTTTGGCAGTTAAAATTACATTTTTGGGCCTGGTATAAAAATAGTGTCCTGGCAGAGATGAAGCGCGCGTTTAATTACCTCAGCCAATGGAGGTTATGTTTTATCGGCGTTTGTTGGTTGGTTGGTTGCTTGGTTGGTTGGCTTGTTAACAAGATAACTCAAAAAAAATATGGACGGATTTGCAGGAACATTTTTTTTAGGGGTGGTCCTTGGTCCTTGGTCCTTGGATTTTGGAAGTGATCCGGATCTGGGTCTGGATCCAGGATTGTTTTCTGCACCATTTATGTGAGTGTTTCTTTTGGGAACACTGACAATCATGGCGAGGAATTGTTTAGCCTTGGCGGAGATTTGCGCCGTCTGTGTGCTTTCTATTTTAAGTTGTTATGCCCGTGGTGGAAAGTGTTTTGGTACCTTTTTGACTGGTTTTTAATGTCAGATGTATGTCATATTTTTCAACGCCGATGACTCTGTTGGTATTTGATGGCGATGAATAACCAACTTTAAAGGTTTTTCACACCGCCTTCCTTGTCGGCGAACCCACATTACCCAAACGTTTCTTTAATTTAATCCTGTCGGCTTTTTGGGTCGATTTTTACCTAGTCATATTGCCTGTCCATCAGCAGCTTAGACAAACCCATATGGCTATCCCTGGTGCAATTTATTAACACCCTCGCCAGGCGGCGTGTGAAGATTAATCACGGACTTATGCCTTTTGGTCCCTATCCGGGAGGGTGATCGACACCGTGTTCCAGATAAGGTAGGGAACTGTGCGCGCCATACATCACTGCCTGGTATTTTCTATATGCGAACGGGCAGCAGCATCCAGAGTATATACCTTGTCGGGATTTAGCCATAGCGATCTCCGGAAGGCCCTATAGACCCGTCTGTTGTTTCCGTGTTTTACCGCAATTGGGCGGTGCCCATTTTGTAGAAATCATTTATCAAAATTTGCCAACCCTGTCAAAGCCTCATTTCAGCATGGCTAAGCCCACGATCAAGTTGACTCTAGTACACGTTTAACTTTATGTCGGTATATTTTTGCTGTTAGGTCGGCAATGTTTCGAGAAGGGTCTGTCATGACGTCACACGTCGGCGTTCTTGAACGATGCCGAGTACAAGTGTGCAATCTGTTCCTAGTTTACTATTTTGTTGTCCTCTGACCTTTGGTCATCTTGGCTCGTAGCCTGGTTTCGTGCCCTGCTTACCACAGAGGAAGCCATGCTGGAAGTAAGGATAAACCCACCCCTTTAGAGGCATGAATTTGGGCGATGATGATTTATGGGGAATACCCACAAGTCGCGGAGCCAGTTCTTGCGTGACAGAAACATCATTTAATACGTGCGATCAATGAACTTGCACCGTTGACTTAATAATTATCCATAAGGGGTGTGTCTTTATCTTTCAAAGTACTTTCTTACCTCTAACCTTGTCGATCTGGTTCAGATTCTAATTAGGTGAGACTATCTGGCTGAATTAACAC